GCATTCCTGATCTCCTACAAGTTTTCAAGCACTGGTGAAACAAAATATACAATTTTCTTCCTGTATCATTATAGCAACTTCCTGATCAAGAATTTCACACCCAAATTTGGCAACTCATCTCAGCTGCCATCAGAATTATTCAACCTGGATTCCATCAGTCTATCAAGACATTCCAAGATATCAAAATACCTGTTTGGATTATAAACAGGTTGGTAGATTTGCATACTTGTAATTGGATAGCTGAAAAAGAATGGTTTGCGGTAGATCATATCTTTACCTGGAATGTTTAGTTCTCATAATCACATTTAGTGTGACTGTTGAATTTAACAAAATGACAGGTCACTCAGAGAAGTGGCTCCATCCAATTGAGAATGAGATCACCAACATTGCCCAATCATCATCTCAGCTAGAAAATCAGGAAGAACAGTTGCCACATCCACACCAACTTCCCAAGCATTTCAATGAATTTCATAAAGGGAATCAGAATTCAGAAAATGTGTCAATCAAGAACCAAAAACTAGTATTGCATGAAGAAAATAAAACATTCATTGATGGTTTCCAAATGGGAGAAAAAATAGGTTGTGAAACAGAAAGTCCCAAGGCAAGGGAAGGTTTTCAGGATATCATTCCCACATGTACAAATTCCAAATTAAAGTTTAACCTTCATGGAGGTTTTGAAGGGTATGATTTGGCCTCTCACCTCAAAAAAATTGAAAAGCTTCTTGGGCTCCAAGAACATGTTGCACAACTTCCTTCAGAAAGCTCAGGCCAAGATTTCTCCAGTGAATATTTAAATTTGTGGGAAGATGAGGAGCAATCTTCAGCTAACTTGAGTGTTCCAGAAGGGATTTCACATTTCCATCAGACAGAGTTGGCTATTGGGACAGATGAAATATTGACTGAAATTGCTTTGGGAAAGTTTCAAAACCCAATTTACTACACAGGGGCAAGAAATCAAGGCACTGAGGGCTGGGGAATTGATGAGTTGTACAAGATTCTGAACAGTGAGATACAGCCTCAAGCTGAACAAGTTATTCAAAATATCAATCTGAACTCAATCAGATCAATAGCTGAAGAATTTATCAAAAAGCCCATGGAAGAGTTTTTGGAACCTGAAGTAAGTTGTAATGTTAATTGTGTCACTTCTCAGTGGAACGATCCTTCCTCTCAAGAGGATGGAATTCATGAGCTCATGGACTTGGAAGCTCAAACAAGAATTAAATCATCATTAGAAAATGTAATGGGAAAGAGAGCTTCTTTGGAAAACAAGCAACACTCCCAAAATGATAACAAAAGAAAAATTTGTGATTTGTCAGGACCAGAAGAAGATTTCCAAGCACCTCCCTGCAAAAGAACAACAGAAACAATTTCAACTCAAACTTTTGTGCAGGCTAAATCCATTTCAAGCTTCCAAACTGCACATGGAAACATTGAAAGAGGGGAGATGGAATTCAATCACAGCCCAATTGTTAAATTATCAACTGAAAAATATGCAGACAAAACCAACAACAAAAGTGAACTTGAAAAGGTCAAACTCTTATTTTCTGGACCTCAACAAATAAGAGAGTCTGAAAGCCTCATTATATTTAACCATTATCTTGTCGATATTCCTGATATCAAGCTTCCCAGATTAAGATTGACAAGTGATGTTTTCTGTGAAAATCTATATCTAAAAGATTGTTTAGATGTTGTCAAAATTTTGAAATTAATCCGTCATCTTGAAAACCCAGAATTTGAACTTACCATAGAAAAAGATAAGCTACACAAGGCTTTTCTATTCATGAAATCAATTTGTTCAAAGAAAAATAGGGAAAAAACAATGACAACAGGAGATTTACATTCATATAGAGATTTTTCAAAAAAAAGGAAATCTGAGTTTTGGAAATCCCAAAATATATGGTATGCATACTGGAAAGCCCAAACTCAAATTGATTTCAAAAAATACTGTCTAGAAAATATTCAGAAGCCTGCAACCCAAGCATTGTTTCCTCTTTATTTATTTCATGTTGAATTGATACTTACAATTATCCCTTGTTTTAAAGAAGAATCTATTGAAAAAAACAAGCTTCTCTATGTTGAAAAACTAGCACAAGCTTCAAAGTTATTTCATGATTTAGAAAAGTATGAGATCAATCCAGAAGGAAATACAAATGTGGATGACTGGACAGAAAGGAGAAAATCACTGCTTTTGGAAATTAGAAAAGGTGCAAAATTCAGTGCTACAGCTGTTTGGGCACCTTTAGAGCTGTGGGTAAAAATATACTATAAAGATTTATGGGAATTATATAAAGAAGAAAATAGAAATTTTATTGGACCTCATATCAAAGGAATGATTTCAAAATTCTTTGCTTACTCAATTGAAAGTCTCACTAAAAAATATGAAAAACTTATTTCTGAAGCACATTTGACATCATAATCATCTTTCTCCATTTTTTTAATATAGTGTGAATAGAACTGAAACATTTGATCAATGATTTTCCATTCATGCTAAGTAGTTTCAAATCACAGTTGCATGCAGCAAATTTCTGTACAAGTCCTGTCCAAATGGTCAGGAATTTTTGGGAGGATATGGATGCCCTTGGAAGTTGGCATCAGAGAAAGTCAAGCCCAAGGGCATGTGTCCAAATGGTTGCTTAAAAAAAAAAAACTGGCTGTACCAATTTGGTTGCCACTTTGAATTTAGAAACTACACTGTCTGAAACCTGCAAAAAACATATCTGGTGGTTTGGACCCTAACCCACCCCCAGCCTTGCCCCACGTGACCAAGTTGGTTTTGTACAGTAATTTTCCGTGTGAAACTGTAGAACATACTTTTTTGACAGAAATAATTGATCATGCTTAGATGTAATTCACATGTCCTGGAAATGGTTCTTTTTCATTTGCTTCTTCAAGTATGATTGTACCATTCTGATCAATCTTTATCTCACTCTACACATTGGCACAGAAACATTGTCTCATGTCTTATTCAATTCTACCAAGATACACAGATAAGAGTTCAACCCTTTGAATTCTCAATAACAATGCCATTTAGAGGCAACCAATGAAATGATTGCAGTTTTTAAAATTTTCTTGTGCATGCCTCAAAAATAAACTAGACTGAAATGGTTCAAGGGGAAGGTGTGGAATCATCTGGTTGGGCTTTTGGTTTGATATGTTAATTTTTCTTGGCTTGAATATGAACTTTGTATTAGACACAGAAATGCACTACAAATTGAGAGTTCTCCCTACTAAGTTAAATTTAGGGCTCAGCTTCAGCTTGTCTAAATTAATCAATTTAGCCCAATTTAGAGTCCTGCATTGTTTTGGAGAGAGGTTATGAGGGAAAGAACAATATAAGTTTTGCAGGATGACATTAGTAGTTAACAAGTCTGTTGAGGAAGCAAAGCAGTTTCTATTGTGCCAGAAAAATGACTCGGCATTCAAAAGGATCAAATGAGCTCTCTTCCAGGTGTCACATTACACCTTTGAGAAGGAGAAAATATTGTTTTTTTGTCAAAAGCTTCAAATGGCCACTTTGTCATGAATATGCCACAAAAAGGTTGTGTTTACCCAAGTCGGCTTTGGCAAATCGCCCCGGTCTCTTTGGAGCCAACCTGAGCTGGAAGATTGATTGACACAAGCTGTTGCGAATACTCCGCCTGGGTCTTCCCTCATCTTCATACTTGCCATTCCTTGATTACCATGGGCAATTTGTTCAGGTGTTTGCTTGTTGCGCATTGAAGTGGAAGACAAAAAACTATAGCTTCAGGCCAGATTTCGTTTGGTTGTATATTTCCTTTTGCCGTTCAAGCCATAAGCCGACCCTCTCCCGCGCAATTTGTTCGGATACGTGCTCGCTGGCTGGGCCATCAGGGTGCGGGTCCCTTGCCTCCCTTACCTGCCAGCTGCATCCAAATGGCAATTTTGCCACCTGTTCGATGACACGTTTTTGGATTGCTATTTTGATCAAATTTTACCTGCTCATGATCGTTTTGGCTTGTAATAAACTCATGATTGCACAAGCAGTGACAAGCGTTACATATCCTCTTTGCTGGCTCTTTTTTTATAGAGCTGTTATTGCTAGCGTTGTGAAGAACATGAGGAGTGCACGAGTGTATGTTGGTACTACAACGGCTGTCGTGGTATATAACTGACTGTCTCAAGCCGCATTGCAACTAAGCCCCAAGATTTGCAAAGTCCAGCTCTAGAGAAAAAGTGGAAGCTGAATGAATTTAACACCAGGGGCGTAGCTGGAGATCAATACCGGCGACTGAAGATAGGTAAGGGTTTTACAGACGTAAACACCCTATAACCCGCTCTACCCTGTCTGCAAGAATGGTAGATTGCAATCAAGGCCCAGACCTAAAGAGGTTGATATAGTGAAAGACGTGATGGGTCTCATCGCGAGTGGCAACCTATTTATGTAGCCCTGCTGCCAGGAACTCATGGCTGTATAGGCTTGTTCTGGAAATTATTATCGGGAAGCGGACCCGAAAAAGATTTCACTGGGAAGCTGGCGCAATTTGTAACCGGTCTCGTTACAGACCGGAGGGGCTCTACATACTTATACCCTGCCGCCACAACGAAAGAGGGTAGTGAGGCTATCCAAACGGTACAGAGCAACAATAGGGGGTTGAAAGCTTCAACCTCAAAATTAGGAAGGTATACATCTGTATACTCAGAAGGAAGGGAACAAATCCATCCCGCTCTCGTCGTCCTGGAGGGCGAGGTGGTTCTTGGTTGTGTCGTGATGGTACCCAAGCCCGTCGGACGGGCAAGGGCTAGGACGAATCTCTGAGTCGGCGTTGCGAGTGTCACGGGCCCGGCCTCGTCTGCAGATGGTGAAAAAGATACATATAAGGGTCATATTCCATGCATTCCTCTGTGGTTGGTAAACTGCAATCCCTTCGGACTCACCATCTTCGTATCTTCTTTGCTCTCCTTTCCCTTACCCTTTCTTGGTGAATAGTTGCCAATTGTGTATTAAACAGCTTGTCCCACTTTTAAGCCTCTTTAGCATCATGGCTGTCAAGCAAACTCCCTTCTGGCAAGGCCTTTTCACGCTTTTCTCAATCTTGTCCTTCTTCTCCGGAGCCTTTGCCGACGAAACTGCTCCCGGACCTAAGCCCGGAACCGCTGACTCTTCGAAATCCGCCATCCCGCGTTTAGTTGGGTACGTGCTGGGTCTCTCTTCATCTGGCTAATCACTTATTCCAATTGCAAGCATGCTTATTATGTTCCGTCGGTTGCCATGTCGTGGTTCTGATAATGTGCCCTTTCAGAGTGAGTCTTGTTCAAAGAAGATCGATACTCGCAAATCAAAACTTGATCGTTTTTAGAGCACTTCTGACAAACAACACTTAATTTGGTTACGACAAAAGATCAACTTGCCAGGTTTCGAATTTGGTGCCCAAACCAATGGACAATACACGGCCGGCACTAATCCTGCCATGCCACCTCCGGAGAGTCAAATCGCCCATTTCCTCAGCCAGAATGTCAACTTCTTCCGGGTGCCTGTTGCCTGGGAGTACCTCCAGCCTGAAATGAATGGCAAGCTTAACGAAGTCAACCTGAAAGCGTACCAGACCTTCATCGAAAAAATCACAACCCATGGGGCATATGTCGCCATCGACCTTCACGCCGTAAGTGTCTTCTCGTTCAGTGATTTGCGGGTTGCTCAATCCTCAGCTGATGCACCTTCACACCAATCCCCTTGTAACAGTTCGCCCGCTACAAAGGCCAGATCGTCGGCGAATCCCCCAGCACTCCAGCCAGCGCCCTTGTCAGTCTGTGGACTCAATTAGGCGCCGTCTTCAAGGATAACCCTTTGGTTATGTTCGGAATCAGCAACGAACCTCATGATCTTGGTAAGCCTCGACTAGCCGCATCAAACAATCTTCTATTTTCATTTATCTACATAGAAGCAAGCATTAACCGTGCTTTCTTTATGTTTTTTTCACCTCCACAGTAATCACCACATGGGCCACAACTGTCCAGAAGGTCGTCACCGCATTGAGGGAAAAGAAGATCGAAAACATCCTGCTTATCCCTGGCACAGAATACACCGCTATGAAGTCATTCCCGGAATGGTACAAAGCCATGAAGGTTGTCAAGAACCCAGACGGCTCCTTTGATAGACTAGTTATGGAAGTGCACCGAGTGAGTTTACTCTCTCCCACTAACAGAAATACCAAAATTGCAGCTCTGTCAGCCTAAAGGAATTGGACATTAAACCCTTGTGCCTCCTCTGCCCATACATAGTACCTCGACACTGATAACTCGGGTAAAAGTCGAGACTGCACAGCAAGCCACGCAGACGAAGTTGCCAAGGCTGTCGAACTCCTCAAGGCTGACGGTAGACAAGTGATCTTGGGAGAGACTGGTGGTGGTAGCACCGACACCTGCATGAAGTTCCTTCCAGAATTGGCTGCAGCAGTCACTGATGTGGGTTCCTGAATCAAAGCACTTCAACATAAGCAGGAGCTTTTTTTGCTGACCTTTTTTTGGCTCATATTCTTCCTCACCCTTCATCCAGGCGTACCCTGTGTTTTTGGGCTTCGCCATGTGGGCCGCTGGCTCTTTCGATGCCGTAAGTGACAATGATCCTTACCCGATCACTTTGAATCACAAAAGATGACTGACCTTGCAAATCCAAAAAAAAAAAAAAACAGAACTACGAGCTAGTTACTACCGTTAAGGACGAAAGTTCGGTCAGTTTTCTTTTTACTTTGTTTTGTATTCTACTCATTTGTTGTTATTGCAAGCCAAATCAATTAACACTTCGACAAAATGTTTTCTTCCTCGACACCAATTTCAGCCTACCGGATGGAAAGACCAAGGCAATTGGAATTCGATCAAGAAGTTTATTCCTGCTAAGGGCTCTGAGAAAGCTGCCAAGTCACCCAGCTCAAAGCCGAAGAGTAAGTGCCCTTTTCACTGGCTCCCCAAGGTAAAACCATTCAATTCACCCAGTTGACGTATTATCACTACTTTTTTCCCCGAAACAGCCAAGAAAAAAGCAGCTTGTAAACGTCGAGCTATGATCTAAGCCTGCACTGAGGATGCTCTCAATCTGCTCGATCGGCCTGTTAAAACCTCATTTTTCTGTTGTCATTGTCGATGTTGATCATTCTTCTAGTTTTTTTTTTCTTCATCAACACCCACCCCAAACTTGTTTTCCCGTCACTGTTGTCCATCGCTAGCGATACGGATTCCTCTCAGATCCTACAGAATCCTCCTTTTCTTGATGTTAGACGTCACTGTATGTACCGAATTGAGAAAAAAAGAAAGAAAAAAAACTCCAGCCAACGCCGTCTGTAGGTTAATCCACGCGACCAGACCACGTCACTTGCTGGAGTCTTCACATGCTCAAGCGTACTGACACAAATTATGGTGAGAACACTTGGAAAGAAGTCCCAAATTTTTGTTTTCAAGTTTCAATGGCTTCCCATTAGTATCAAACTGAGGAATTTTGCGATGATGAGTTCCCAGTAGTGAGCCTAAAAATTAAAAGACTGACTCAACACATGAGACGCTATGCGTCCTCCCAAGCTTCCAAAGTCTTTTGATGGATGTTTGCACTTTGGGAAATTAGCCTTTGGTTGCGCACCAGCCGGGCTTGAACCTCTTCATCATTGGGTAGCAAACACTTAGCCCAACCAATGTTTCCCCAAGAAGTGATGTTCCATGATGCCGAAGCATTGATGAAGATCATACAAGAATGCAGTTACATTAATGGTAATTTCATGCAGACAGCAGAGTTGAAGAATCTTATGGAGCACCTTCCCAGTGCGGCAGTGCTCTCGTATCAGTCCGGTGGCGGGGCTCCAAAAATGGAGTGCGGCCAGTACTTTTGCCCGCAGTGCATCTTTGGCGTGGGTGCCAGCCAAGAGAGCCAACATCATCGACCAACCTCCGCAGGGAACTCAACCGATATATCAACAAAACGCTTGCACATTGCAAAAAACAGTCAGTATACTTCCACTCACTGAGCAGGCTGAAAACAGAGACTTTGCTCATGCCAGTTTCATCATCCAGGTAGATTCAGCTCGATAGGCCAAGAAATCCGAGTCTCGCGGATACGTTTATTCAATTGGTGAGTGAGGACTCACATTCAGGACTGCTACCTAGGGGAACCCATCGATTTTTTTTCTTGATTTCAATCTCTTACATCCTTGATTGCTTTGGAAAAATAGTGACACCTTCCAGCAAGCATCAGCAAACCAAGGGACCCACCAAAACTAAGATAAAACTTCCATCCACACCCATGAACCCGAACGCCAATTCCTTCCAGGGCTTCCGGCCTGGTGCCAATACCTTCGTTCCAGGAGGTGCCCCACCACCTGGCTCGTCCAACCCCCAGCAGCAGCAGCAGCAGCATCCTGCTCAAGATGGAGGAAGCCAACCTCCCTACCCCGGCTACTACCCTGGACAGGGCTACGGGAACGCCCATCCGAACTACCAGCAGCAAGGAGCACATCAAAACTATGGTTATCATCAACAATACCATCAACCTCATCATCAACATCAACAGCAGCAACAATACCAGTACCCCGGTGGCTATGGAGCTCATCAACAGTACTACCAACATCCGCATCAACAACCTCAATCTCAGTACAACCGTCACCATCATCATCAACAGCAGCAACAACAGCAGGCCCCTGATAACTGGGAAGAAGAAGCACCCCCTCGTCCGCCTACTCAGCAGCCTCAGGCATCATCTGAAGCTACTGCCACAGTCAACAGCAATGGTTCTAAGACCTTGTCTATCTCTTCTACAACCCGGCTCAAACAGATGAACGCCAACTCGGACAAGCCGGCAGTGGTTTCGCTAAACATTGGGAAAAAGAAAGACCCTGCTCCGGCTCCTGTAGCCAAGCCTGCGACTGACTCCAAGGTATCATCAACCGCCCGCTCACAGTCTTCAACACAAGCCAAAAAAGTCATCACCATCGGTAGCTCAACTAAGTCTCAAGCACCTACGCCACCCACCGAAAGTGGCACTCCTGACCCCCCTTCAGCCGATCCAGTTCCTGCCAGTACACCTGCGGTCGAAGCAACATTGGATGCAGCTACTAAGACATTGACGATTGGAGACGCCCGTCGCCCAGTGCTCGATGCTGATGCGATCAAGAAGGAGGTCGAAGCAGCTGTAGACGAAGAGACCCTGCGAGACTTGTACGAATCGAAGAAGGATGACGTTAAAGAGGATGGCAAGCCGCATGCGAACCTAGTGTTTATCGGCCATGTCGATGCGGGCAAATCGACGATGGGCGGGAACATCCTCTATCTGACGGGGATGGTCGACAAGCGGACGATGGAGAAACTAGAGAAGGAGGCCAAAGATGCTGGGAAGGAGTCCTGGTACCTCAGTTGGGCCTTAGATTCGACGATCCAAGAACGCTCCCAAGGGAAGACGGTCGAGATCGGCCGGGCGTACTTCGAGACCGACGCCCGAAGATACACCATCTTGGATGCCCCCGGCCACAAAACTTATGTTCCGGCAATGATCTCCGGTGCCAGTCAGGCCGATATCGCCATCCTCGTCATCTCCGCTAGGAAGGGCGAATTCGAAACCGGCTTCGAACGTGGGGGTCAGACTAGAGAACATGCCATGTTGGTCAAAACTACCGGGGTCTCAAAACTGGTCGTCGTCATCAACAAGATGGACGACATCACCGTCGAATGGGACCAAGCTAGATACGACGAGATCGTCAATAAACTGACCCCTTTCCTCAGACTCTCTGGCTTCAATCCTGCCAAAGATATCACTTTCATCCCTGTCTCAGGTTACACGGGAGCGAACATTAAGGACAGACTTACTAAGGATAAGTGTTCGTGGTATGAGTGCGTCTGAATTTCTTTGAATTTTGATGCTTCGATATCAGACAAAACAGCAGGGCTGACATCGACCCACCTGAAACAGGGGACCCTCTCTTCTCGAGCTGCTGGACAACATGAAGCTCACCGATCGCAAGTATAACGCCCCCTTGATGATGCCAATTTCGGAGAAATACAAGGACATGGGAGCGGTTGTGGTGGGCAAGTTAGAATCTGGCAAAGTGACCAAAGGCGAATCTGTGCTCATGATGCCCAACAAGGTACATTTGTCTTCCCGCTTTGTTGTTGAGAGATGTCTGTCAGCGATTGATGTTGATGTCTTTCTTCTTTGTGACACTCGATAGACTTCCGCTGAAGTGTCTGCTATCTATAACGAGATGGAGGACGAGATTCCTCGAGCACTCTGTGGTGATAACGTTCGGATTAGACTCAAAGGGATTGAAGATGAAGATATTGTCAGTGGATCTCAATGCTTACATGAACGTCGAAAAGATGCATGATTGCTAACCGACTTGACATTCTTTGTTTTGACCAATCACAATGTGGGGGATGGTGTGAGCAGATGTGTGGTTTTGTGCTGACGGATGCGCACAAGCCGATCCACACGGTGACCCGGTTCGAAGCCCAACTAGCCATCATCGATTCCAAGAACATCATCTGTGCCGGATACGGCGCCGTCATGCATGTCCACACCTTGGCCGAGGAATGCACCCTCTCCGCCCTCCTCCATTACTACGATAAGAAGACTGGTAAGAAGTCCAGGAGGCCCCCTCAGTTCGCTAAGAAAGGCATGAAGGTCGTCGCCCTCTTGGAGACCGTTGCGCCGATCTGCGTGGAAACGTTAGTCATTACTATCTCTTTATATTTTTTTTTTAAAATCAAAGCCATAGTCGGTTTCTGAAATTTTAATTGTAATCCTCTTGGTTGTACGAATATATAGATTCAAAGATCATCCTCAACTGGGGCGATTCACTCTACGAGACGAAGGGAAGACGATTGCGATTGGAAAGATCACCAAGCTCTTAGAAAGCGCCAACCCCGACGACCCTTCCTCTACCAAGGCTTAAAATCCACCTTCTCCCCCAAAAAAGAATCAATCAGCTTTTCTTTCCAAATTTTCTATGATTCCTTTGTTGGTTGGCACTGTAGCCTCTTCTTTTTCTTTCTAAGCCGTCTGTGTCTCTCTTATTCCATTGCCCCATAAAATCGGTCTCCATCATTTTTTTTTTGTTATGTCTCACTCCTTATCTTACTTTTGTTTTGTTTTGACAGAAGAGACTTGTGCTTGTCAGTTATACAATAGAGATCCAAGCCTTGTTCTACTTTTTGTCATTCCTTGACTCCCCTTGTCTATCTATTTTCCACTTCCTCTGCTGACCTCCGATCATTGTCTATATCTTTCTCTTTCTCTCTCTCTCTTCATCTCTTTGGTCCTATTGTCGTCTTTTTTTCATGTTCAAAATATGAATCCTCATATATATATCCCTCCAGCAGAGCAATCAAATAGTCTTCATTAGCCCTTCACTCGTGGTTTATCTCAGGCTCATAATCTGGCGAATTAAGTTCGCTCTTTGTCCAATTTTTTACGGGTGTTTGAAGTGTATTCCGGTGGACACTGGTTGCTGCGTTACTTAGACTAAGTTCCCTTTTTGGAGAGAAATGGGCTCCTCTAGTGACAACAGTACTTCAGGATAATTGTGCCCGTAGAGTGCTGCTCCTTCACTAGAAGCAAGCTACTGTACATACAATGCTTCACTTTTGGAAAAGCTGAGACAAACTTAACAATCTAGAAAAAATCTGATGATCAAGAAGATTCAAAAAGATGTCACATATTCAATAAAACTACAATCTGCATGAACTAGTCTGCCATGCGGGAACTGCAACAGTTATCAATCAGCTGACCCAGACCAGCCCATGAGAGCCCCGGTATTTATTAGCCCTCCTGAGGCATATATAAACTGCATGGTTTGTTTTGTACATATCATTTTCAGGTGCATTGTACCGGCGAGTATCAAGCTGCGAGGCGAGGACAAGGAAGCTACCGAGGATATAGAGTAGCAGCCCGAACTTGGAGTTCTAATTACTGCGCTTCATTTGCCCTAGTCCAATTCTCCCTAGGTTTTTGTAAAAGGGTTTTTGTTTACTTGATACCGTTGAACTGTTTTTTTTTTACTATTGCATTACTAGAAGCAAGTGGACAGTTACAGAGGCTTACCAGGGAACCCAACCCACCGAATTCAGCACAAGTGCTGTCGCTGGCCGACGAGACTGAGAGGCGCTAAACGCCTAACACGAATCCCCATGGGCCGGGGCTCTTTCGAGCCTACAGCAGTTCCCAGAAAGCTTGCGTTCGCGAGCTCCTGGGGTCCCGATTTTTTTTTTTTTTCTGCCACAATTTTTTGCGCCTCGGAACCTGTACACATGACTGTACAGGTTGCAAATCGGCTGCCGAGGCCTTGATCGGGCTCCGGGCACTCGGCTGTTACCTGGCAGGGGGAGGTGAGGCAGCGATGTGATGAGCGGTTCCAGCTCAAAAAACTGCCAGGATTCCGATGGTCTACCGTCTAACTCCCAAATCTTCAACTTGAATAATGTGGGAGTTGGGCCATAATGCCTAGAATACTGTGGCTGTATGAGCCCACATACAGGACAAAAAATAAAAGAAAAAGTGTGGCACAAAAAAAAAAAAAACTGGATCCCAGGGGCTCGCGACAGCAAGCTTTCTGGGAACTGCTGTAACTCCTTGAGAGAAGGGAATAGGGGCTTGGTTAAGTTCGGGGCTCTTTACCAGCTGAGGCTTCAAGTTCAGCTCTCAGCAACTAAACGTGGATATACTCAAAGTATAAGTTCCCCCCTCCCTCCGGGCTCCAGGGGTTGTGAGTTGCGCCACTGCCTTCGACAGGGAAGAGGGTCCGTTTCAAGGGTTTTTTCTCATCGTGGAAGTATTGAAAACTTTTGAATCTGTTTGAAGAGCCAATCGGCCTTCGTATCGTTAATGGCCCAACCGATGGTGGCCTGTTGACATCGATTAGGCTGTCCGCTTGTGCTCTTCACTCTTGCTTGCTATCATGGTGTCTCGGGTACGTATAAAACCCGCAAGCTTTCTCCATGTCCTGGATGAACGGCTCATCATATACTTCCTTGGTCTTTTCCGTCACCTGATCACTTCTTGGCACGTTGGTCTATTCAGTTTGGCCTTTCAGCGGATTTCAGTCATCCTAATTCCAGCATCACTGCCTAGCCTGCTCCAATAGCTCTCAATCATCGAGCCTTGTACAAGCAGACGGCGTTTCTTCAGCCCACACGACCTTACCTAACAATGCAATTCCTAAGCGCACTCGCTTCCATCACCCTACTGGTGTCCTTTCCTCTTACCCTACATGCACAAAACGTTCCTAATGATTATATCATTAAAGAATATACGGACCCTTCTAAACCCTATCTGCAGGTCCTCGATGCGAAAGGGAAAGTTGCTTACACTTTCGAGAAAGCGTACAATTTCCCATCCCAATTTAAGAACACGGTCACTATCGCGGACCCATCTCTCAAACCGATATTTTCTATGGTCTCGGTCAGTCTTGTGACCACTCAAACGATGAGTGACCAGCACGATTCTAACCAGTCTTGATTTATCCTTCTCCCACCAAACCCCACAGAGTGACGACCAATGCAGATTAAAGACACACTATGCTCAGCTCGGAGGTCCCGCTGCTAAAGACAACTTGCCGAAGCGAGAATATAAGTATGACAATTCACGTGCAATTGGCAAAATTCTCTGGCGCTTCAGCTTCTATTCCGATGGCGCAGGTGCCCGGGAATACTACAAGTTTGAACGAAATCGTACAAACAAAGGAGGTCGAATTTATAAGGTGGCCGCGGGTCAGCCTTCCCAACTGGTAGGCCTGCTCAGATGTGAGTGACACGTCTCTCTCTCTTTTTCTCTTTTATCAGATCACCAATGCAGCCGCGCAAAAAAAAAAAAAAAAAAAAAAAACATGACCACTGAATCTTGCTCGATTGGGCATCAGTTCAAGTTCGGCGCGATAACTGGGTGGGTCCTGACACTGTCAATGGGATCAAGACTTTTACTCTTTCATGCATCGATGGTGCTCCACTGGTATGTCCCTGACAGTCCGAAAACATTTGAAAGGAAACTCAAAAACAAAATTTCCTGATCCCTATGCCTGCTTAACAGCCCGAATTGGTCACCTTGCTGGGTATGGTCTTTTATCGATGCTGAACTCATATGATTGCAGAACGGACTATTTTATGTGTGACCCGTTTGTCCTTCCTTCAAACTCTTGGACACTTTGATTTTATCTTCAATGACAAAGACAATTATCTGTTGTATCAAATGTATTTTATTTTTCAAGAACATTTGGGTATTGTAGTACAATTTCCACAAAACTTATTACCCAATTTGAGCCATACTTATTTATGCTATGTGGTTGCTAGATAGCATTCGTAGCTGAGAATTTTTATGCTAAATAGAACAGGTAAAAGTGATAAATGAAAGAAATAAAGAGAAGGCAAGGAATAGCTAAGCCTAAAACATCTGCCACACACACTAGAACTGGAGTGTCAGAAGAGCAAGCCTAGATAGATGAACTCAATTATATTAACATCAGTTGAACTTCTTCAGGATTGTTAGTTGATGACTTGTGCAATGGTAAACATGTGTTGATGTGAGCAAAGAATTTCTGATGATGGTGGTAAACTGATGGCAATTTGATGAATTTTGAGAAGTGGGGGAAAGATTGGCAAAGCCGATTGAAGACAAAGTTTGAAAAAGTAGCTTGTTGAATTATTTGAGAGGGCTCAAGTGCCCTCAAGATAAGACTGAGGGAGGCTAAAGTGTTGTCACAGGATCAATTCAAGAAAGAACTGATACTGATTCATTCCTTAGTATCTAGAATGTCTTAAATAGTCTAGATACAAAAAAGCACAAGTTGTGGGAGCAGATTTTTATGCTTAATAAATAGGAAATGAGACAAGAGACATTGGTGACAAAAACTTTACATGCTGGGGAAAAAGAGACAGACATCAAAGAGTGGAATTTCAACTCAATTAAGTTTGTGATCACACCAGCAACACAAAATCTTATCAGATGATCAATACATTCTACAAAAATTACACTATCTATTGGGTGTAGGGGTGAATGAGATTCACTGAAAACCCACAGAGAATGGACAAATTAGAAAGAAAAAACAAGAGAATGGATTGATTGTAAAGATTCTAGAACTTGGAAGAGTGGAGACAACTTAATCAAACAGCTTTATTCTTTCATTGTGATACTAGCAGGAGGTACAACATGAGGGGCCACAAACTTTTCAATTCTCCATTTAGTTTTAAATTTTTTGTGCTTTGTGCTTGCTGATCTTGTGTCTAAGGCCTTGAATTCTGGGAAATTTAGCTTAATGCTCATCTCACATCCTAAATTAAAGAAAACACATTGATTATACACATCAAGTCAAAAGCAAACTAAAATATCAATAAAAGTCTGACTCATGTTTGATCATGCATTAAACACAACAAAGCAATATCATTTTACAGTGTGTAGGAGGTGAAAGGTGGCTGCTTGTTTCGGATCCCAGAGCTTCAAAACCAAAAATTGAAGTCATGAGACTTTGTCAAGTGGTGCAGGATAGGTCCCAAAAATTGATCATAAAAAAATGAAACAAACAAAAGTTCCAAACTTTTTTACCTCTCATTTTCAAAATATGAATACTCTCATTTATATATCCCTTCAGCAGGGAAATAAACAAGACAAAACATATAGGCCTTATTGGCCCTTGAATTGTTGCTTGTCTTCGGTCCCTTGTCAAGGAAAATCAAGGAAAGGTTAGGGACTTAGGTTTGCTGCCTTAAGGTTTGTGTGGGTTTTTGAAACAGACACAGTTAGGCATGCATTTTGGTCATGCCACCGTATTTGAAATGGGGTCCTCCAGTGACACATATTCCTACATACCATACCACCTTCTGTGAGATCTAATTCCAATGTAGAAAACCTTGGAGAAATTCTTGCTTCACTTCTGTGACAAATCTTGGTTTACTAAACCAAATTTCAATAAATCACTTTTGGAAAGATTAGATAAATATGAAAATCTCAGGAAATCCAACCAAAAAGAACCAAATAGAATGTAACATATTTGAAAAAAATCAAAATCCAAAGAGGAAGGAGAATGAAAGAACTCATCATGACTTTTAAATTGAAAGGTGTAAGGTGAGAAAAAAAATAGGATCCAATAAAAAATCATAATCAGGGAAGTATCCAAGAAACTAATTTGTATGAAAGGAATATTTTATTGATTTTTGTTTCTATTTTTTCATGAGTATAAAGATTCATAATGAAAGATTTGATCTGTGAAGTAAAACAAACCTAAGTTTCACAAGGAATTTTGTTTTTGACATATTTCATGAATGCTTGATCATATTTGTAAAACTCTGGATTATCCTTTGGGTACACAGATGTCCATGATCTCATTTGTACAGATCTATCTTCTCCATATTTTTCAAGAAATCTGGAGACTTCTTTGTACTTTTCTGCATTTTTTGACAAATAAATATGAATATAATCATAATAGTAAAATCTAGACAGGGCACAGAGACTGAGTGACTGTAATAGTTCTTGGAAATCTTTGATTTCTTTTAATTTTTTTGTTTGTCCTATTGAAAAAGTATGCTTCATAAAACTAGAAATGGGTCTATTTTTATCTTGGGGATTAATAAACGTACCCCCCTTTTCTGCTATCCACACCCGGTTTTTCACACCTGGTTTTCTGCTTCTACACCCGGTTTTCCCCAGCCTTTTTAATTCATTTTTTGGCAATTCTGAATATGCTAAAAATCTTCTAAAATTGATCATTCTTTTTGGGTATATAAAAAATCCTCAAAAGAGAAATTCAATTTTTTTTATTTTTCTCACCCATTTTCTCCCTATTTTTTTGACCCTATGAGCTCTTGAAATCTTGAATTAAAGCCAAAACTTATTTTTAATTGTCAATTTCTTAATTTTTCTTCTCCATAAAGATGGTACCATTCAAGATATTCCTTATTCTGTCCATTTGCCTATAGGTCAGAACCAACAACATTGGGATTTCCAAAATGAAATCAAATTTGGTCCTTTATAGATTTCCCCAAGATTGGGCAATATCAATGATAAATTTGAATGTACTTTGAATTCTCAAAAACTCATAGGCAGAAAAAAAACTTGATGAATCAGATAAATTAAAATTAAAATTAAAATTTCTCTTTTGAGGATTTTTTATATACCCAAAAAGAATGATCAATTTTAGAAGATTTTTAGCATATTCAGAATTGCCAAAAAATGAATTAAAAAGGCTGGGGAAAACCGGGTGTAGAAGCAGAAAACCAGGTGTGAAAAACCGGGTGTGGATAGCAGAAAAGGGGGGTACGTTTATTAATCCCCTTTATCTTTGATTGAAAATGATTTCTTGATGATTCCTGGGAATAAATGACTTTCAATGATATCCAAAATTTCACAGATGTCACGTGTCAGTTGATACATCATTTCATTCTCTTGCCTTAATGTTGAAATTAGAAGATTCCTAAGATTTTTCACATCAATTGTGTATTCCTCTGGAATTTCTAGACTGTTGGAAACTTTCTTTTGATCAGCATCCAGTGATAGTGGTTGTGGGGTTCTTCTTTGGTCATGTTGTAACATATTGCAATAATGCTCAATGGAAAATGAATTGAAAAAAGTGGTGAATTCTTTGTCTTTTGCACAGTCTGCATATTCAGGTTCATTGAGAATCTTCCATTTCAGATTGTAAAATGATAATTCAAGGCTGACCATCAGCCAAGTTTCTTTACTAAAAACTGATTTTGATTTTTAATTGTTGAAAAAGAAACAGAAAGTAATCAGTCTGAAATCTGAAATCTGGTGATTTTCTGGGAGAACTGTGTTCCTTTTTTTACAAAACAAAATTGATGAAAAACTGACCATTAAAAAATTGATAAATCATTTTCCATATGCAAATTTCTGGGATATTTGAAATTCCTTCTTGTATATCTATTCCCAATTTCTTTGTGAGATAAATTATGTGATCACGGCTTGCCATCCACAAACTTTTGTCTGCTTGGAAAATTTGCTTAACATGATCTTGATTGATTGCTTCATTTTTGAAGAGGAGGTCAACAGCTCCCCAAAGATATTGAAATATCTTCCTGTCCTCAGCAAGGTCACTCCTATTGTAGGATATATTAGAATAATAGTATTCATGATGACAACTAGAAAGAATTTTCTTTACTTCATGAACAAATGAATTCACCAAGTCATTTATTCTACTTTGTAAAATAATTTTTGAAGAAAATCTTTCATAATCTTGCATTTGATTTCCTCCTATTATCTCTTCACTGTACTTTTGAATTTCAGGATGGAATATTTCAAGTTCAAGAAGCTTCAGTTTTTGGAAATTAACCATTTTCTCATGAATCATATTTGCAGATTCCAAATCTATTCTCCAATATTGTTTAGATCTTTTTCCTTCTAATCCTGTTACCTGTTCATTTTGATCTAAAACTTCCTGGAATTTGATTTGGAGCTTTTTACAATCTTCATTGAAGGAAATCAAACTTTCTGTGAACATCATTAAGATTTGAATTAGTTAGGTATTCAATTTAAGTAAATCAAAATATTAAAGTAATCTCACCTTCATTTTCTTTCAAGTAAAAATCTTGATCAAAAACTTGACACAGATTGATCATCAGCATCCTGTTTTAATAAATCTTCATCTGACTATAGGACCTTTGGAATTTACTTACATTCCTTATAAGCTATTCTATTGGTTGGAATCCAACCTTCTAAAAATTTTGGGACAGCAGATAATTTGCCCCTTAATTTAACATTATTTCTCTGTGCTTCTGTGGTTGTGCCCGGCCCCAAGGAACAGACAGGTCCTACTTCCCAGGAATTTTGATTCAAACTTTGAAGCACTTGTCTGTTTTCTTCCACAAGGGAATTTCCTGTTGAATTTCATGGGAAATTTCATCAAAGGTATTCAAATAAACAATCAATGCCAAAGTTAAAAAAATTGATCAGAAGAAGAAAGTCATTTACCTTTTGGAGTTGAGGAATCTCTAAACTCAGCTGTTCTTAAGGGAGGAGGTGCCAAAATGGTAACTTGAAAAAGAGCTAAGCTAAAAACTATGCATTCACAAATAAACATTTTCTGGAATGTCAATTGAGAAAGGATAAAGTGCTGGGAATCCAAACAG